CTTTACCGAGTTACTTTTACATTCTCAGACGTTACAATAACAATAGTTACCATAGTGTTCATGTCATATGTATAAAAGTTTGAGAGGTTGAACTGCTCCAGCTGCTGTTTACAATTGGTATGACGTCAAAGCCTATTAATATACTAAGTGACGTATAAATCCGAACACCCAGTTTAAATGGTTTTATTTTAACAAAAGTCTGGGTTTTTTATTCACGATTAAAGCTAATCATATCCCACACCTGCTCAATTGGGGGTAAGTTGGGAGATCTTGGTGGCCATGGTAACAATGTGACATCATTATGTTGAAAGAAGTCTATTGTGACTCTTGCAACATGTGGTCGGGCATTATCTTGTTGGAAAGTTGGATCTGCCAGGGTGTCAAGATAGGGTAAAAGATGGGGTTCTAGAACTTCGTGGATATAACTCTGCGCGTTCATGTTACCTCTGATGAAGATTAAAGGTGACCTGGAACCATAAGCTATAGCACCCCAAACCATAACTCCGACAGTGTGATGAACATGTCCTTCAACAAAAAACTGTGGATTCCCCCTTTCACCGCTTCGCCTTCTAACCCTGGCACGACCATCGTGCATGCCTAAACAAAATCGAGACTCGTCACTAAAGACAATACTGTTCCATTCCTGATCCCAGAGTGACCGTTATGTGCACCACTCAAGGCGATTACGTCGGTGTTCTCGAGTTAAAGGGAGGACCCAGTGTGGCCGGTATGAAAACAAGCCAAAACTTCTCATTCGTCAGTAAACACTTCGCATGCCAATAGGTCTTCCGTGTTGTGCAAACCATTCATTTGCAATGGACCTGGTAGTGGAGAAACGGTCCCTTAAGGCCAATAATCTTAGGCGGCGATCTTCACGGTCTGTTGTTCTACGGCGGCGTCCAGTGCCCCTTGCTCTTTGCGTACGACATTCTCGAAGCCATGCCTGACAACACCTAACCACAGTGTCTACGCTTCTTTGCACTCTAACTGCAATTGCCCGAAAAGAAAGTCCAGCTTCTCGAAGTCCCACTATACGGCCCCTATCAAACTCACTAAGTTGACGAAATCGTACAGGTCTCCGTACTCTAGGCATCGTAACCGATCGTAAAGGATGTCAAGAACCAAAATCCGCCAACGTTGATTCTTTACTGCGGCTGAAATGTTCATTTTTAGAGCGTTAGTGAATTAAAAAAAAGCAGTATAAAAACCGGAATGTCCAACTGATAAGGCTGAAAATTTTTTCACTTGTTATTTACAGCAAGATAAATACATTCACCAACTTTTATTAAAATAAAACCATTTAAACTGGGTGTTCGGATTTATATGTCACTTAGTATATATCGTTATTATCACTATGTTTCTTCTAATAACAGTAATTTCGAGCTAACAGACACTTCCACACAAATTAATTCTTATGACACTATCTAAATTCACACTTGCAATGCAAGGTCTGTTCTTTCTTCAGAAAAACGAAACCATAACCTTTGACAAATTTCATCTTAATGCTTTGCTCTGAAGTAAGAGATTATTTGAAGCTACATTAAAATCCATTGATCATCGTCATTTGCCATGAAAAGTCTTGATTATTAAATACGAAATTGTAAATCATTTTGTAGTGAGATGGCACTTAAGTCCCTATACTGCGGAACACGCATGAAGTGTATGAGATCCGTATTATCAAATCCATACTAATGAGATTGAATGTTTACTGGAAATTGCTTAAGTGCTTGACATTCAAATTAAATGGTGTGAAACTGACCAATCAGTGATGTTGGGAAGATTTGAAATTAATCCTCTTGAGCTGCGGAGAATTTGTGATAGCTTTAAATTTCACTACGAAGTCATACACAGTGATGTAGATCATCCTGTTTTATCGGCTAAAATTTACTTTCATGTACTTAAAAACACCAAACTCTAATCTCATAATTAATTCGCCAAGCTACTTTATGTGCTCCAGCTTTAACGCTATAGCAGATAATTGTTACAGTGATCACGATAATATCGAAGCGTAAATTTAGTGAATTATAGCATCTATAGTAATTTACTTATTTTTTTCTAAATTCTTCAAGAGACTGTTCAGGCTACTATTTTAGCTAAAAATGCTGTAGTCTAACGCTATACTTCAATTACATTGTAGTACAAATGGACTGTTCTGCTTGGAAATAAAACCTACTTAAATTCAAATTCAAATTCAAATTCAAATTCAAAATATTTATTTCGTCATGAATAAACATCATAAACAAAAGAAATTCTACATATAGAGTAATGAAGAAAAAGGACAGTCTCTCGATTATAAAACCGATACATTGGACCCTTTAATACAAAGAGTTCATGCGAGAAAGCCCTGAATACCCTAAAAGTTCTTAAACAAAATAAAAAATACAATAAAGAGGCAAATGAAGAGGCGGTGAAACACAGAAAAAGGCAAAAACGAAGAGAGAACCCCCAGGAGCTGGCAACGGACGCGAAAAACAAATCTATACAACTTGTCAGCGAGTAGGAATGTAAAAACGTTATTTTTGCTCACACAAACGCTGCTAAAGTAGCTGGTGATTCTGTAGCAACGTTTTTGTCAGTTTTGAGAATGTTTTTGACGATGAGCTTTTAACTGAAGTTGGTAAATTATTCCATAAGTGAGCCGCCACATAGGCAAACGATTGTCGGAAGGAACGCGTTTATATTTTTTAGTCGCATGTAAGCTAAATTTGTTCTGTTTTTTATATGACTGCCGAAGCCAAGCGAGCTATCAAATCTAATGCCTAGATTTTTTGTCTCCTAAACTATGGGGATTCTGTCATTGTTAATAGAAATTACTAAATTTTGTTCAAAATGTTCTCTTTCAGTACTGTTTTTATTCATAACCATTACTTGCGATTTTGAGGGGTTTAGTTTAAGATTGTGATGCTTTGCAAGTGTGTCAATTCTTTGGAGATCTGAATTTAGTTGTTGTTGTGCAATATGGATTGTGGTTTTATTGACAGGGAGATATATTTGTGAGTCATCTGCATATTGTTTTATCTTTGCGAATTTTACCGATTTGACCATGTCAGATATGTAGATTGAAAATAGCAAACGAGATAAGATTGAACCTTGAGGAACTCCTCTTTTTATAGGTTTAAAATCGGTTTTGTAAATAGCAGAATCATTTGCTAACATAACACAGTTTGAACGGTTGCTTAAGTATGTTTTTATTAGATTTACGGAGTTCTGCGAAAACCCCTGGTAATGTAACTTAGCTAGTAACATTTCATGATTCAGAGTGTCGAACGCTTTACTAAAGTCGAGAAGAACCATGCACGTACTATTTTTTTGTTCTTGATGATGTCTGATATCATCCAAGATATCAACTAATGATGTACTTGTGCTAAAGTTTTTTCTAAAACCGGATTGACTATCTGGTATGATATCGTTTGTGTCACAAAAAAACCTAATTTGATTATAAATATGCCTTTCTAAAATTTTGGATGTAGCGGGTAATATGCTAATAGGCCTCAAGTCTGTAAATTCTTTAGGTTCTGCTATTTTTGGTAAGGGTTTAACAATAGCTTTCTTCCATATTTCTGGAAATAATCCCCCCAAAATACATGTGTTGATTATATTCAGCAAGGCATTCGTACAAAATGGGATACATAACTTTAGGTCTCTCATAGAGAAACCATCCTCTCCAATGGCATTTGATGAGATATTAGTTACAATTTTGATTAGACTGGCCCTGTCTAACAGTTGGAAGCTAAGAGAATCGTTAATGTTTACATTGTTTTTGTAAAAATTGATTTATTCTTGGGAAGCAGTGTCTGGTAAATTGTCGGTCTGCTGGAAGTAATTGTGTATGTCATTTACATTTTGTAAGTGTTCGGGTATAGTTGAATGAGTTTTCTTGCATGTTATGTTGAGCTTTTTGGTAGTGTCCCAAAATTCATTACCTTTCTTTGTTGAGAGTAAGTTAAAGAATGTATTTTTTTCTCAGATAATTGCATGCTTTGTATAGTTCCTTAGTTGTTTATAATATTCAAAATGAGCCTGTGATTTTGATTTTTGAAATTTTTTATGAGCTTTATCTCTTAGTCTGATTAAAATTCTTATATTTTGAGTTATCCAGGGTACATAAGGTTTTTCGGTTATTTGTTTTGTTTTTATTGGAGCGTGCTTATTCAGAACAGTTACTATATTTTTATTAAAGACTTCTATTTTTCGGTCGATTTGGTTTATGTAGTAAATCATGCCTTATAACAAATAGTTGCAAATAGGTTTCAAGGTTGGTCCTAATATCCATTATCCGATCATTAATTTTAAGTGTCGATTGAAGCTCCAAACATCAAGAACACTGCAAAAAGTTGATAGTGAAATGCCTGCCCACTTTGCGATTTTGGTTTGCCCTCATTTAAGATTTTAAGAATGACAATCCATTTTGAAATACAGTATTATTGAAACAAGAAAGACCTAATAGCAAGTTGCGGGATATAATACATCTATAGAACGCAGAATATAAGGTATATAAATGGTTTCTTTGAATTTACATGTAATGCGTGAATGGCATAAAATACCGTCTCAAAAATTAATGAAGTGTAGACAAAAATCTAAAAACCGTGAGAATTTTAGAAAAAAATGTGTCTCTGATCCTTTGCTATTGCGGTTTGATTTCATATTGGAAAAAATACCCGATTTTGAAAAAATATGGCTTTTGAAACAAAGAGGTAAGTGGTACGTGAAACCAATTCAGTTCGCTTAGTTTCTTCTTGTCATCCAATTGGTACTATCATTCTGTTTCTTTTACTTCGTTGCTTTTTGTGTTAGAGGAAAAAGAACTTCCGGACCATAAGAACCTCACAGGAATCGGTTTTTATTACACTATCTCTAATCCTTATATTTCTCCTTCATCAAATCATGTGTTCACTGGTTCTATAACTATTATTAAAGCTTCGTAGAGCAAGCACAGATAGAACAGTCTCTTTAAGGAAGTATGGGCGACATAGAAATGAAGGGTTGTAAATTTTACGTACCTGTAGGATCTGTGGGAGGTAGAAGGACGTCCTTACGTCACGAAGGGCACTCAACAACTCCCGCTCGTCAGCGAGATGAATCAATACTGGCGCCGGCGCCCTTTGAAGAGGCGCCTCGGGCTATCAACACACTGAGAAACATTTTTGTATGTTTTTTTACCATAATAATTGACTTCCCACGCCTTATCATTGATCACGAGACCTTTTGGAGGCGTTTGTTTTTTCAATATCTTCCAGAAAGACGCTTGTTAAAACAAGTACATGAAGTTTGCGCTTTTTACCATGTTTTACTTTCCACTATTACAGAGTATTAAGTGGCGTCGAGTAGGTTGACTCTGCACTTCCTCGCAACGCTGTAATCAGTTCACAAAGGGTTAGGTAAGGTAACAAGTTAACTCCTCTGAGAAAAGAATAATTACATCTCAACTCGATCTGCGTATGAATTGGTCCATGTTACGCCACTGTTTACAATAATTTTGATGCGCTTATTCCTTAGTTTAGTAGAATTCATTAGCTTAGATGTTAACGTAATGTAATTTAATTTAATGTTTATTTGTTGTTTTTTCATAACTAGTGATGAAATTATCAAAAAACCATGGTTTTCAAAAGAAACTTTTTCCCATGTATCTTGTGTGGTCTATGGATATGCAATAAAGTGTTTTTTTTCTCCAAAAGTAAGGAAGATCGTGAGCCAAAAAAGTTGTACTTCTATTTGCTTAATCCAAAGAACATAATACAAATTGCACAAAGGTCAGTGGTGGAGACGCCACTCGACTTGATAAATTTAATCAACCTAGGCCCAAATTAGCTCCTTAATATTATAAATATCGCCGCCAAATTACAAGAAAATAGGTAAAGGATATTTAATAAATTTACAAAACACTATTTTTTTTATTTTAACATCCTGACCTTGAGAACGAAGAACATAATACAAATTGCACAAAGGTCAGTGGTGGAGACGCCACTCGACTTGATAAATTTAATCAACCAGGCGCAAATTAGCTTCACAATATTATAAATATCGCCTTCAGATTACAAGAAAATAGGTAAAGGATATTTAAGAAATTTACAAAAAACTTTTTTTTATTTTAACATCCTGACCTTGAGAACGAAGAATTTGTGTACCTATATTTATATATTGTTTTAAAATTACTCATAGTATCGTCTGTTAAATTTATGGTACATACTTAATTAACACCCTGTATGCAGAATATGTTTAGGTGCGCACTAGAGTTGAAAACATAAATATACAAAAGCCAAATAATTGAGACATAGGCAGAGTTAGCCTACTTGATACCATTTTTTAAGAACTGTGCTAGTGTCATGGACACGTGCTGCTATCAAATATTCCTCTCAACATTTGATGACGCCCTATAGGTGTGTATTCTGAATTTAGAGGAAGCACCCTTTAACACAACAACGGTGAAGTACGAGCCCCTTCCGACTTCAGTTGGCCCAACTATTGAAATCTTAGTTTTTTTCTTATCAAACACAAATAATAAAAATGTAGCAGGGTGATATAGGTTTAAAGTATTAACAATGAATAGTTTGATAATATATAGTATACAACACCAACTTTATCACTCCCTAATCAAATTTGCAGCATAAAAATAACACATGTTGCAATTACAGCACATAAACCTATTTTCATTTCAATGCAAAATAAGTCTATAACGCATAGGTGGCTGTGAAAAATAAAAGCCAAGACAATTGTTTTTATTAATCACAGCTGTCAGAATACGTTTAAAATAGTTCTGGGTAGTTAACGTTTTCAAAATGGGTAGAGGAAAGGTTATTAGTGAGAAAATTGAGTTACTGATAATTAAACTATTTAATTCCGGGAAATCAAACTCAGAAATTGCAACTTTGTTAGACTTATCGTGGTACAGTGTGAGAAATATTGTTAGAAGATATAACGTAACTTCAGTTCAGTTAATATTAACCCACGATATGTAAAAAAAAAGTAATATCACAAATACCGACCGAAGAGCATCAAGCATAATTGTGAAAAACAGGCGTGAACATTATTTACAATTAAGTGTTCTGTGGAGTGACGCTGTTGGAAGGAGAATTTTGAGGTCCACAACACATAGAGAGGCTCACAAACTGGGATTTAGCACTTGCAAGGTAAGTTTTCTTATAAAAAAAAGTGAAGTAAAAACCCTAAAGTTGCACAACTTGTTTATAGGCCAAAGAAAAGCCACTATTAACTCCACTGCCAAAGAAAAATCGGCTTAGATGGGCTAAAGAACATAGACAATGGACACCTCAACAATGGTGTGCAATACAATGGAGTGATGAGGCCCGATTCGAAGTTTGTGTTGGTGACAGTCGCAGTAGAGTTATTCGCAAAAAATAAAGCATTCCATGTTGACTGTCCGAAGAGAAAAGTGAAATTTCCAGCATCCACTATGGTCTGGGGCAGTATGTCATCAAAAGGAGTAGGAAAACTTCATTTTATTGATGGAAATGTGGATACAAACAAATATTTGGCAATTTTAGAAGAATCGCTTTTACCAGCGATGGAAGAATGTTTGACATCCGGCCAAGATTTTGTGTTTCAGCAAGATGGTGCAGCGTGCCATACCACAAAAAAGGCTATAAAATGGATGGAAGAAAATAATGTACCTCTCTTGAAATGGGTTTTTAGCAGTCCAGATCTGACACCTATTGAAACTTTGTGGCACGAGATGAAAAAGGTTCTACGACAACATCCTACTCGTACAATCACCGAACTACGGCAAAAGCTTCAAGAAATATGGGATTGTTTTACACCAATTTTTTTCCAAAACTTGGTTAACACTATGCCCCAAAGAATTCCAGCCGTAATAAAAAATAAAGGTGATGTTACCCAATGGCAATCTTTCAATTGTTGCTTTGTTAACTTCGCGCATTTATTCGCACATTGTTTATTTGTTCAGATGTTCTATTAGTTATAGGTCTAAGTGATTTCAAATATGTATTTTTTACGACTAGAGTGTATCTAAAATGTTTTTGAGAAAATAAATTGTTCTAGAAGTAAATAGTTTCGTCATATTTAGTTTATAAAGACATATTTTTGTACAAATCTTGGGAAGGGGCTCGTATTTTCGTATCCGCCTTGATTCTAACATCAGCAAGTTTTCTTAGTGTGAGCAGAAGAAACCTTTCGAAGCTAAATGTGCTCAGCATAACATCGCACACAGTGCACGTAACAGTTGTTGGCTGATTGAAACTGTCGGCTGAAGCTGAATATCCGTGGAAGCTGCGAACCTGTTAGTCTTGGAAGTAAGCAAGACGCGTGAACCATAATAGACCAGTGAGTTGCAGCGGAGGATCGTGATTAACCCACTCACAAACAACCTAATTTATACATGACGCGTAGGTATGATGCACCGGAAATTAGTATAATATTCATCAATAAGGTAGGAGATGCACTTGCAGGAAATACAGGGTGATTCACAAGTCGGGTAGTGTATGCTGAACAAATTAATACCGTTGATCAGTTACAAGGAGGAATATATAATGCCTTCAGAATGGTGGTCTTTTAGAACATTTACTGAAATAAAGCTTTTATTATCTCATTTGTTTTATTTTTATTCTTACTAACACAGTGCACTCTAGGAAAAAAATCAAAACTTATTTGTAGCAAATTGAAGTTAAAATTCGAAAAAATACGCGTTTCGATAAAAAAACAGTGGCGTACTATTTTTCATTGAAAAATAATATCGCTAATCCCCTCTGTATCTCTGCCACTGGTGTCCGTTAGTCTTGAGGAAGGACTTTAAAATGTGGAGAATACTTAGGTAAAGCCACATACCAAATTTTAGTTCATTTCAGTTGACGGTTTTGAAGATTTAAATTTTTTTTTGAATCTTCAACTCCCCGTATCTTCTTAATGGAGCCCCCGAGGGGAAAATGTTACATAGAAGAGACCCCCCTTAGAATGTGTATGATGCTTCATCTCTTCTGCTATAATAGCGACGTTGTCAAATGGGATCGCAGTAAATTCCTTAGGAGCAATAAGAATATAGTGCATTTTCCTTCAAGAATTGTTCATTCTCAATCATCACACATGCCTGTTAAATAAATATGACTCATCTACTTGCCTCCCTCCGAAATCTTTCCAAGATTTCGTATTCTTAAACTTTATCAATGACGGAAACAGAATGTCCACGGTCTCCGTAATATTTTAATATAGCGGCAACAAAGCAGTTCCCGTACTGTAGCGCCACCAAAATAACGGGCTTGCTAAAAAGGTAAGCCAGCAAAAGTCACCCATAGACGACACACTCCATCATTCGTCGCTTTCGAATACGTGACACGTCGGCCGTTTTCTGTAGATGTCAACCACGATTCGTTTACAAATGAAAAGAAACGATTATTTCAATACTTTCTCGATCAACACGACAAGGATATCATGCTTGCATGCCAAGATTTTCGTCATAAAAATGCATACGGTAATCAAGGCTTGAAGTGATAGGCTCTCCTGGATGACTGATCTTCTACACTACACAGTCGAGCAAGTTCTCAAACCCACATGGCCGCGGCCCGCCCGGTCAACAAAATTATATCGTGCGACTTGAGGTCCAACCAAAACGATTTTTCTTCAACCACCAATCTCTAAATTAATTTCAGTATCAATATAAAATTACCGAATATTAGTTAACAATGCCAAAACACCCCTTAAATTAACGCACTTTTTTCTCTTTGCTCTCTCTCCTTCCTTTCTTTTATTTTATTTTCTCTTCCTTCTACCTGACTGTCTGGTATAGACGATATAACTTACAATATCTACTTTAACCAAGAAGACGGACTGCTCTCACACACAGCAACAAATAGATGTTGTCTGCTATTCCCACAAAATGTCGGAACCTATGCATGATTTCGCCATTGTAGTCATCATCGTTGTTATATTTCACACAGGCAACATTGTTTATTATTATTATACATAATAGAGACAAGAAATTCAACATAAAAAGTAATACATATACAGGGTGCCCGCAAAGTTGGGGTTTTCCTTTTCAGAAACAACTACCCTTGAAATAACAAAGGTGATGTGTAGT